CCTCCAGAAAGGAAGGCTAAGCAACTGTTCCTTGCAAATCCGACCGGCAGAAGGCCCAGGGGACGGCCAACATTATCGCAGTGCAAATATTTGGAAGAAGTCTGTTCTAGAGTCCGGTTATCTTCTGCTGAAACTCAGATCTTGGCACAGAATTGGCAATGTTTGAAGGACTGTCTTACGCGTCTGCATCCGCGAACCGAAAGGAGAAGTGATCAAGGAAGATGAAGAAGCTTGTGATGTTTTTGATCCCACTGGATCCATTTTCAGGCGACATAATACAAAGTACTTGACGTCAGAGAACAAGTACACTCAAAGTTCCCAACGTCGCTGTGTACTGCGTGATTTACAGGTAGTACAGATACGATTGACAAATTGCTAATACGTACTACACTTAAAGGTGGTAAGTTTATTGGCAAATCAGCTTTGATTTTTGTCGCTATCTCCTTTATTGCGTTTTTTCAGGCTGATGACAAATCTTTGTCCTGTCCTGTTAAGACATTTGCATGCCCCTATCAATACCGCTTTTTCTGTCTTACGTTTCCGGTTGTCTCTTTCGCGCCGTACCCCTTTCATGTTTTTCCGGTCGACAATGTGACCCTCTTTAACCGCATGTTCGATGAGTGCGGAGTTTTCTTTATTTTCATTGGGTCCTTCTTGTTTTTCATCAGCCCCTGTTTTCTCTGATCGGTGTTACTCCAACTTCTGAAGTACGAATGGTGATTTTTCTTCATATCTTCGAATTTGTTGGTTGGCTTTTACGTGGGGGAGCTGATGTCAGACTTGAAGAACAACCGTACACCAAGCTTTGAGGCATTTTTTCGTAGTTTCTTTTGGAGACCAGGTATGTAAGGGATGATGACCGTTGGGATGTTGACGTCCCACGTTTTAACCTGTTTTCCTTCATTCTGTCGTTTCCTTTCTTACGTTTTGATGACTTTGTCGATGAGTTTAGTTGGACAGCCGTTCGTCCTTAAGCTGTTGAAAATATACCATAATTTTTTTCGGTGCCATGTTCGATTCCTGGGCAGTTGTGAAGCAAGGTGTTTATAATGCCTCTTTTCATGCTGTGTGGATGATTTAAGTTCTAGGGTATGAAGCGACTCGTATGGGTCGGCTTGTGGTAGACTTCTGTGATGTAAATTCCCCATCTACAGACACCAAAAAATCTAGGAACGGTAAGACTATTTGTTTCCGCTTCCATCGTGAAGGAGATGTTTTTTGGGATCAATGAGTTTACGAGTTTAGATGGATCGGTAGAAGTTTTCCGTTTCTTTTTGTCAGTCGGCAGATATGTCGTTCATGTACCTTTTTGAAGAGAACAGGTTTCGTTTCTACAGCTGTTGTCGTAAACTGGCAGGCGTTGAGATGTTTCATGAAGACTTCTGCAGTGGATGGGGACAGCGAACTTACCATCAGCGCTTCTTTCGTTTGCTGGTCAAGTCACCATTGAAACGAAAGTAGTTGTAGTCTACCGTTTAGATATTTAGGCGGCTCAAAATTGTTTCCGTTGAGAGTGTAGTATTTGCTTTAGAAGCTTTGTCTTGTGTAAGTCTGTAGCTCATAATTTCGAAGATCAGGTGGATATTAATGCTGGGGGAAGACTTTTGATATCATAGTTTACCATTACGGTTCCTGCAGCTGCTGTAAGTCTACGAATTTTCTTACCGAATTGCTCGAGTTCTTGATATGCGATTTTAGATTTTCTGTCATCATCTGTGATGATGACGTTGGTAGAATCACGTCTGAGACGAACTATACTATTTCGACGGGACACGAACGACTTCATAGGAATGTGGGTTTCTGGTAGACAGTAGAATTACGATACTCTGAAGCTGCTCTTAAACATGAGCTTCGCATTTTACCTAGCTATTTTATTTTCCTTCGGGGCATTTAGGTAACATATCAGTGCGCGTGTTTTTGAACGGATAGAATCTTCGCCCATTTTGATGCAGTCATATTTAGGTACTTCTGCGCATATTTTAGTTGTTATTTTTTCGATTCAGTACAACTGTTGTTAAAATAAAGATACCGGTTTGAAACGACGAAGATGCAGAGTGTAATGAAAGAAAAATATATTTCTCACTTTATATCAGCTGCGTTATTACGCCGCTCCTTGATTCTAATCGCCAAGGGAGTCATTTAAGCAGGCCACGGCTCCATGGTATTTAAAGACCTGCAGTGCATAGGGTACAGGACTGCGTTTCAAGATAGGTTTCAACAAAAGTATATTCAACGGTACAAGATTGCCACGATCCGTAGACGAATAAGTGACAGAATATACCTTTATGTTCCGGGAGAGCTTTCG